CATTTTATAGTCAGTATCCATAAAGTTACAAAAGTAATCGATTAAAATTCCTGAAAAATTCTATGGGGGGTGGGCGGTTGCAGGTAACTGGACTGTGTATACACTCAAGTAGGGGGTTTTACCGGGAGGGGGTGGCGGGGGATTTGGGAGTGGCGGGGGGCCGAAACCTGGGGGAGTAGAGGGGGTGGTGGTGGTAGGGTTAGTGGTGGGGGTAGGGGACAAATTTTTATGAGTTCTTTTAGGGATGAACTTGTTTGTTCGGGTTTTAAATTTGCGGAACGTTGATTTTTTAGCAATTTGGTCTCATTTTGATGTAATTGTACAACTTTCTGATCCAAATGTTTCATTAGCTTAATTAGTTTAATTAGCTGTAAACAATTTTCTGTAGAAAAACAAATCGATTTTCATGAATTTTTTTGACCTAGAAAAAACTATTATACTGTCAAAAAAAATTGAAAATAATCTATTATAATTCCTTAAAGATTCATGAGTTATGTGTTGGATGGGAAGTTTGCATGAAAATCAATAATATGGATTAAAGTCCATTATAATCGATTTTTCGCATGAAACTCCAGTGCGGGTATGGCAGCTAGCCAACTTTGTGATATGCAGTACAGGGACTATTCTCATGTGCGAAGGATCAAATGGGCGAAAAACTCGTGAGCGGAGGACCGAAAACAAAACTAGCCGAAAGACAGTTTTTTAAAAAAAGTAATTGCCATTCAATTAAAATGAATCAAATAAAGCAAAATTTTGCTTCTTTCATAATGACAACCTGAAATAAAAATTTTGTTCACTTCGGCGACGATCAGTGACAACTTGAAAGATTTGCATATTTCTGCCGTTTTTATTTTCGACCAATATCAATATTCAGTCCTGGCTGGGAAAGTTCACTTTCTTTCGAAAACTTAGATTACTAAAATCTGATTAGCTGATTTTTTTTTTCGCGCATTCGGTCCTTTGCGTATGAGGGATTCCAACATGCAGTACCCACATAGAAATCTATAAATCAGTCCATGAGGTTTGGATTTTCAAATACTTATGAATTTTGAAATTAAAAATCTCGGCATTAAGATACACATTATAACGAAGAAGTGAACGTCTTTCATGGAAAAAACAATTTCCTGAAATATTCCGCCCTTCAAAAAAATAAATTTACTTCCAAACTAATTGATGGTCTAAATCAAAGTCGAGTCGCGAAATTAATGTAGCACTCAACATCGCTCGAATGAAAGACGTTCACTTTTTCCATTGTTCCAATTTTTTTGTTGTTTTAGTTTTCATTTTTCATTGACATCCTAGATCGTTTTCCCTACTCTAAAATTGTGTTTCGTATCGATTAACCCAAATAATCAACTGACTTTAACATGAAATCAGAGCAAAACGTTTTTAAAATGTTTGATGAAAATTATACCGTCAATCAAAGTGTTAATTACGGGCATTCTATAGCAGCACATGAGTTCGACCATCGTGCAGAGCCTGAAAAACAAGCATCAAAAACTTCAGCTAAATTTTGAAAATCCGAAGGTCGCATTTTCGAGAAAAAAAATTATCATTAGATTTTCGATTATTTATTCTGATACATAACAAAAGTTCAGCTGTGTGCTTACTGATACTGACTATACGACAAATTTTTTTTTCTCACAGACACTTTTGGTAAGCAAATCGGCTTTAAAAACATACAATTCTGAAAGAACCTAGATTATAGTCGGTCGCATTTGAAACTTTTGAAATCAACATGTTTTGAGAAAATTACTAAATCACCAAAAAAAAATTCTCACGAAACTTTTCTGACTTTTAACATTTGGTTAGGCTTAATTGCATTGATAGTCAGGTTTTTCCTATCTTTTCAATCCCTTATGAGGCTAATTGACAAAAAAATTAAAAATATCGGAAGTAACAGGAGCTACATTTTTTATGCAATACATAGAGTGTAGAAAAGTCATTCCAAAATTATTTTAAAAATTCGGGAAAATTTTTCATTTTAATGGCAAACTGTTTATCGTACAGTTGTGATAACTCAGATGGTTTTTTTTTAAATTAAAAAATTGCTCTCAGTTAAGCAAACTTGAAAAATAGACTTTTTTAGATGAACCTATGACACCTTAACTTTTATTTAAAAAATGTTTGTCACACAATTTTGATACATGGGACAAATAGGCTTCGTTTTGTTGAATCTTTTCAGGGAATTGTTTTATCAGCAGTTTTTTTTACATGGAGGTCAACCCAGAAAGATTGTTTTACTATTACTTCATTTTTCCTAAACTCATGAGGATGTATGAAAGTCTATTCAACCTGTCTTAGCATAAACCATTTCCCTTAATTTACCACATTCCAGACTAAGTTCTTCTATTAAGCAAGTCTCTTTTCTGGGACTCAAGGTCGTCTTTTGCGTCTAGAATAAGTTTGCAAGCCTTAATCGTTTTTGCTCCGGATAAAGATCTCCGGATCTTTAGCTTGGACGGTTCCAGGTTATGGCTACAGTCCTGTAGCTTGAAGCTATCAGTTACTGTTTAAAAAACAAACTTTTAAAAACTCTTTATTGAATTAAATAGAAATTGGAGGCTACTTCTTGAGTTGATATACATACACATTTAAAACGTTTTGCATCGGAAAATGCACATAAAATTACAATTTGCGAGCTGGTATTTTATAAACACTCAAAAATATGCAAAATTTGATATATTTATTATATGAAAATTATATATTAGACAAACGTCTATTCTAAAGCAAAAACTTGGATGTTACAAACGCTTCTGAACTGTTTTGAAAGCCGGGATAAAGTCAAAGTTTTCAGTAGCTTTTGATGCTTTCATAAATCATACGGTAAACTAACATTCAAGTAAAACGCACGTTAAACTTCCAGCCGAGCTTACATCAGATTAACGTAAATTCGTCAGAATTAAATCTCGATTGCATAATAACATGGAAAATCTGTTGTTATGTTTCGTAACAATATTATTTTTGGCCTATTGGAATAATAATCTTGCTTTCGGCTTGTTGGCTTTTCGGCTTGTTGACCCATCTCAAGCTTTTCCTCTGATTGGGTTGAAACATATTTGATTTTCTTTGTCGTCCCTTTTAATTTTCAGTTGCAAAAAACTGGTTGGAACTTTATGTTTATTTTTGTTGTAATACACGTGTTTCAGCACGATATTTTCCGAGTTTACCATCTGAGCCGTTCAGTCCTTCTTCCACATTTCCAAGCAGTTTCTCGAAGTTAGAATCGAACACGGTTTCTTCATAAAAGTTGTAGTTTTGGTGTCCTGCTAGAATAAACCCTAGCCAGCCTCGAGGCAAAAAATCTTCTTTGAACTAAAGCGAAAACCTGTTTTTTGTTCAGTTGCAATGAGTACAGCGCTTCATGTTCACAGTTTGAACTATTTTGATACGATTGTGAATAAAATACCACAATTACAGTTGAGTCTTCAGCCGTTTTGTTTATCGTTTGAGGGAAGTTGTAACAGTCGGTCCAAGCGTTTATCCCGCTGACTTTCAAGGTCGCATAAATCTGACGCGCAGCTTGTTTTTCATTCGAGTTGTAGCTCACCATTACCATGATTGAAGTGTCTGTAACTTGGTCTGCGCGAAATGCCGGTTGGACTTGGTTCAATTGATAGTGAGTTCGATCAACTAGACCAGTAAGACCGGTAGTATTCTTTTCCTTGTGCGTTGGTTCTCTAAAAACAAGAGTTGATGATGGACAAGGCTGAATTAAGGGGGGAAGGGGGTTGAAGGCAGATGCCGTCCCTGCCCCTCCCCCCCTTAATCATGGACAAGACTGAAGTAAGGGGAGGGGAGGGCGTTGAAGGTGAACGCCCTCACTGCCCCTCCCCACTGCCCATGATCAACTCTTATTTTTAGAACCAAAACATAACAATCGATTTCCTTTGGTACTATTTTAAGACCTCCATTTTTGGCCGACTGACCCTAATTTTTTTCTAAGGGGGCCTTTGGTGTCAATATACGCTTTTTTTTGAGCGGGGAGCTGCCGAAAAGCGCTTTTTCAGCCTGTTTTTCAAAATTCGGTTGCGGCGCAAAAAAGCCAGAACAGTGTCTTTTTAACGATCTGGAATAGCTCGGGAAATCAATTTGGCCAATCTTAAGATAAGGTCGACAAAATTTCTTTTGAAAACTTTTTGAAAATCAGCCCCTCTCAAGAAAATCCCCCAGCCGCCCCTGCTCATGGGCTCTGAAAAGGTCAGTTGCTCAGCGATTAGTTAATTGATTGTCAGGCCTATAGATAGATAAATACATTCTGTTAGGCTTTTAAAACTTCTCAAAATAGCAATTCTGCTCAAAAATTTATTTGATGGGCACATTTTTTAAAAACCAAATGAGCCGTTTTGTGCCCGCTCCAATCTGTCAATATCTCAAAAAACCTAAAAATAACTGAATCAAACATTTGAAACAAGAACAATTTTTCTCAGCAATTAATTCTGTTTAACGGATAATTTGAAGCATTTTGAATCTTTCACAAAAAGTTACAGCTGCAAACTCAAAACAAGCTCTCAAAACACTGGTATTTGCCCTTGAGACAAATTGTTCTTATCTACGTTCGCGTTTACTTTTGCACTGCAACATTCACCGCCACCAAAGACGGAAGAACTGGGGCAAGCTTAACGATCGGTCGAGTAAATTCGCTCGTGGATGTTTTGATGAGGGCAATATTTTCGTAGCCAACAAGACCACATAGCGTCAGTGTAAGACTGAACTCGTACGCACCTTTTCTTATGATCGAACTATTCCCAAGGAGAGAGCGAGGGAAAGCTTGCGGCATACTGTCCAAGCAAAAAATGGTTAGGAGTTAAAGCTTCTAAATCAAGCGAATCGTTACCTGAAATGCGGGCCCTCTAAATGAGGAAAGCGTTTATGAAATCATGTAGAAAAAATCATCAACAATATACCGGAAACGGATCATCAGAATTTCGTTTATTCCTTGTAAGAAAAAGAATAAGAAGTTATCTCTAAAATAAAAGTAATGTAGAATGTAAAGCAATTCTCGGCATTTGTTTTCTATGGCGCTAATTTTTTTTCAAGTTTGGAATTGCCGGAAAGAAACTAATGAAAATTTTCTCCATAAATTGAACCTTTGAAGTTTTGAACCATGAAATCTTTGAACTTTTGATCGTTTTTTGAACCATGCAATATAAGAGAATAACAGTTTGCGCATTAGCTTTCTGGAAGTGGGCCGATTTTAGAAAACTGAAATAAAACGTTTTTGAAATCTTGCAGCACCTTCAACAAAAACATAAAAATTATTTAGAAAAATTAAAAAAAGCCATTTTTTTGAGAAAAATTAATCAAATTTGACGGCTATAATCGATCTCGGCTAACTATATAAGGATTAAAAGAACACCGGGCTTTAAAAATAAATAGTTTCCAAGTTGTTTGCAAATTAGCAGCACTTTTAGGTAGAAATTAAAACATAATACTAGCTGTTTTGGAAAAAAATTCTATTGTCACTCCAATTATAACAAAAGGCAAAGAAACTGTTTTGAATATGGGTTATCTATGGCAACAAACCAATTTTGAGATATGCAGTACCCACAGAGCTAGTAAAAAATCAGTCCATGAGGCTTGGACTTTCCAATAGCTATGATTTTTGACAGTAAAAATGGGTCTCAGCGCTAAGGTACACATTGTTACTCTAGTCAAATGCTCTCCATGGAAACGAAAATTCCTGAAAACTTTTCTTTTCCCTTCATAAATAAGAGCCCTTTAAACTATTTGATGATCAAAATCAAAGTCGAAGCGCAAATTCAATGTAGCAAGTAACATCGCTCGAATGAAAGACGTCACTTTTTCCCACAAAATTTTTATTGATTTAAGTTGCAGTGACTCCTAGATCGTTTAGCGGTACCTTTTGTGGTAGCAAATTGTCTTTTATAACATGCAGTTTGGAGAAAACCTAGATTATAGTCGGCCGCATTCGAAACTTTCGTGTTTTGAGAAAAGTTACGAGGTCACCAAAATTGTTTTTTTTTTCACAAAACGCTTCTGATTTTCAAAATTTGATTAGGCTTAATTGCATTGCTAGTCAAGTCTTTTCATCCTTTTCAATCCCCCCTGATGAGGCTAATTGAAAAAAAAATCAAAAAAGTATCGGAAAAAACAAGAGCTACACTTTTTATGCACTACACAAAGTGTAGAAGAATCATTCCAAAACTATCTAAGAAACTCGAAAAAAGTTTTTTTTTATGGCAAACTGTTTATCGTACAGTTTTATAAATCAGATCAGCTTTTTTTATTAAAAAACTGGTATCAGTCAAACAAAATTAAGAAACAGACTCTTTTGAATGGGCCTAAGACACCTTAACTTTTATCTAAAAAAAGTTTGTCACACAATTTTGATACAAGGAACAAATAGGCTTTGTTTTGTTAAATCTTTTCTGAGAATTCTTTAAAAACTAATTTTTAGTTTACATCTAGGTCAACCAAGAAGGAATGTTTTGCTATTACTTCATTTTTCCTAAAGTCTTAAGGTTTCTGCGAGTTGCAGAGGATGTATGAAAGTATATTCAACCTGTCTAAACATTAAGCATTTACCTTATTTTACCACATTCCAGACTAGGTTATTCTGTTAAGCACTTCTCTTTTTTAGGACTCAAGGTCGCCTTTTGCGTCTAGATTAATGTTCGTGTCTTGATCGTTTTTGATCCCGATAAAGACTACTCGACCCTTAGCTTGGATGGTTCTAGGTTGCGGTTACAGTCCTGTAGCATGAAGCAATCAGTTACTGATTAAAAAGAAAGTATTAGAAATTCCAAATTGAAATAAATAGAAATCGAAGCTACTTCATGAGTTGATATAAAAACACATTTTAAAAGTTTTGTATCGGAAAATGCTCTTAAAATTACAATTTGCCATCTGGTAGTTTATAAACGCTCTGATTTATGCAAGAATTTGCTATATTTATGATGTAAGAAGTATTTTGAAAGCCGGGTTAAAGCCAAATTTTTCAGTAGCTTTTGATGTTTTCTTTTCAGTAGCTTTTGATGTTTCTTGATGAATCATTGGGTAAACTAATTCAAGTAAACGTAACTTAAAATTGCAGTCGAACTTAATTCGGACTAACGTAAATTCATCAGAATTAAATCTCAACTGCATAATAACATGGACAATCTGTTGTTATGTTTCGTAACAATAATAATTTTTGGATTATTTGAATTATAATCTTGTTTTCGGCCTGTTGGCTTTTCGCCTTGTTGGCCTACCACTACCTTTTCCTCTGATTGGGTTGAAACAGATATGAAAAGTTTTTTCCGACCATTAAAGTCAGAAGGAACTTTATTCTTTCATGATGTTTTTTTCGTCTCTTTCAAACTTAAGTTGCAAAAAACTGGTCGGAACTATATGTTTTCAGAAAATATACATGCTCACAATACTTTCAACAACGACCGTCAGACGAAAAAACCATTTGAGCTTTTCAGTCGTTCTTCCAGATTTCCGAGCAGTTTCTCGAAGTTTTAATCGAACACGGATTCTTTATAAAAGATGTGTCCTGCTAGAATGAACTCTAGCCAGCCTCTAGGCAAAAAATCTTCTTTGAACCTAAGCGAAAATCTGTTTTTTCTTCAGTTGCAATGAGTAGAGCGCTTCATGTTCAATTTGAACTATATTGATACGATTTTGAATAACAAACATAACACAATTACAGCTGAGTTGTCGATCGTTTGGTTTGTCGTTTGAGGGATGCTATCCCCATACGTCAATGTGTTATAGTCTATCCAAGCGTTTATCGCGCTGGCTATCCAAGCGTCTATACTTTAAATCTTTGAAAATGTTTTAAAAGTGATTAAAGTATTATATAGGAAGGATTTACATGGAATTTATGCGGGAGCTTGAGCTTGCTATCATCTCCTAATTGATCATCAAACTGTTCGATATATCATAGCCTGTCAGTATCATTGTACATCATGAACTGTATCATGAACTGTATCATGAACTGTATCACAAATTGTGCTTGATTGCAGCCGCCCGGCCACCTCCTTCCTCTGGTTCACGTCCCCCTGGGCGACCTTCAAACACATCATCTGGAAGCACTACAGGTGGCACATGATCGTCACAATGATAATTATCTTCGTCGTCCTCTTCCTAGCCCTCTTCATTTACACACTACTTGTAAGAGAAATAGTAAAACAGAAGCTACTTTTGTATTTTCGGCAAATTTTTCATTATTTGTGTATAAGGGAGAAAAGATTTTGAAATAATATAATCGAAATAAAAGTTGTTGACAAAAATTTTTAAAACACAATGAAGACATCAATTTCCTCGGCTCCAATGTAAAAAGATATTTTTTTTGTAAAGTTTTGGGTTATTGAAAATTGCCAAATTGGCCATGTTCTGGGCTAAATTAGGCGCTTTGAAGTTTTGCTGAGGGGTTAACGCGATTAATTCATGCGTGCCTATTTTTCCGCGCAACAAAATCGTTCCAAGTTGAACTGTGGCTAGCTAATTGGTGGTCGTATCAAATTGGTACGGCACTTTTTCAATTTTTTCCCCACAAAACTATTCAATACTCGGGCCTTTTGGTGCCAATATACACTTTTTTTGAACAGGGAGCGGGCAGAAAACGCTTTTTTAGCCTGTTTTTCAAAAACTCGCTAGAGGCGCAAACAAATAAGCCAGAACAGTGTCTTTTTAATGATCTGGAAGAGCTCGGGAAATCAATTTAGCCAATCTTAAAAAAAAGATCGACAAAATTTGTTTCGAAAACATTTTGAAAATCAGCCCCCTCAAGAAAATCATACATCCGCCCCTGTTCATGGGCTCTAAAAATGTCAGCTGCTCAGCGATTAGGAGGATTTTACTGGTTGTCAGGACTATAGATAAATAAATATGTTCTGTTAGGCTTTTAAAACTTCTCAAAACAACCATTCTGCTCAAAAACCTAATTGATAGCACGTTTTTTTGAGCCAATTGAGCGGTTTTGTGCCCACACCAATCTGTCATTATCTCAAAAAAACCAAAAAATAACCGAATGAAACATCTGAAATAACAACAATTATTTCTCAGCAATTAACAAAAGCATTTTGAGTCATTCATGACGACAACAGTTTGTAGCTGCAAACTCAAAGCAAACTCTCAAAACACTGGTAATTACCCTTAAGACAAATAGCTTTTTTTGGAGGTCATATGTGAGAAAAAACGGTAAAACGGTCAAATGGGTCTATAGCCCCTCGAGTATACATGTATAAAGGTTAGCGAATAGGGGGACTTGAACCCCATGGACCGGCGGTTTGACCAGTGTCATATACGTTAGGCTTTAGTCCTGTTATAGAACCAGCTTTTCACTCTTATTTACTTTCGCGTTTAGTTTTTTTCCGCGACATCCTCCGCCCCCAAAGACGGAAGAACTGGGACGAGCTTAACGGTCCGGTAATTTCGCTCGTGGCTGTTTCAATGAGGGTCAAAGTCGAAGCGCAAAAATCGAAGCGCAAATTCAATGTAGCAAGTAACATCGCTCGAATGAAAGACGTCACTTTTTCCCACGAAATTTTTATTGATTTAAGTTGCAGTGACTCCTAGATCGTTTAGCGGTACCTTTTGTGGTAGCAAATTGTCTTTTATAACATGCAGTTTGGAGAGAACCTAGATTATAGTCGGCCGCATTTGAAACTTTCGAAATTAACATGTTTTGAGAAAAGTTACGAGGTCACCAAAATTGTTTTTTTTTCACAAAACGCTTCTGATTTTCAAAATTTGATTAGGCTTAATTGCTTTGCTAGTCAGGTCTTTTCATCCTTTTCAGTCCCCCCTGATGAGGCTAATTGAAAAAAAAATCAAAAAAGTATCGGAAAAAACAGGAGCTACACTTTTTATGCACAACACAAAGTGTAGAAGAATCATTCCAAAACTATCTACGAAACTCGGAAAAAGTTTTCTTTTTTATGGCAAACTGTTTATCGTACAGTTTTGATAAATCAGATCAGCTTTTTTTATTAAAAAACTGGTATCAGTCAAACAAAATTAAGAAACAGACTCTTTTGAATGGACCTAAGACACCTTAACTTTTATCTAAAAAAAGTTTGTCACACAATTTTGATACAAGGAACAAATAGGCTTTGTTTTGTTAAATCTTTTCTGAGAATTCTTTAATCAACAATTTTTAGTTTACATCGAGGTCAACCAAGAAGGAATGTTTTGCTATTACTTCATTTTTCTAAAGTCTTAAGGTTTCTGCGAGTTGCAGAGGATGTATGAAAGTATATTCAACCTGTCTAAACATTAAGCATTTACCTTATTTTACCACATTCCAGACTAGGTTATTCTGTTAAGCACTTCTCTTTTTTAGGACTCAAGGTCGCCTTTTGCGTCTAGATTAATGTTCGTGTCTTGATCCTTTTTGATCCCGATAAAGACTACTCGACCCTTAGCTTGGATGGTTCTAGGTTGCGGTTACAGTCCTGTAGCATGAAGCAATCAGTTACTGATTAAAAAGAAAGTATTAGAAATTCCAAATTGAAATAAATAGAAATCGAAGCTACTTCATGAGTTGATATAAAAACACATTTTAAAAGTTTTGTATCGGAAAATGCTCTTAAAATTACAATTTGCCATCTGGTAGTTTATAAACGCTCTGATTTATGCAAGAATTTGCTATATTTATGATGTAAGAAGTATTTTACTCAAAATTTTAATCAAGAGCAAAAATCGGAATGTTAGAAACGCTTCTAAACTGTTTTGAAAGCCGGGTTAAAGCCAAATTTTTCAGTAGCTTTTGATGTTTTCTTTTCAGTAGCTTTTGATGTTTCTTGATGAATCATTGGGTAAACTAATTCAAGTAAACGTAACTTAAAATTGCTGTCGAACTTAATTCGGACTAACGTAAATTCATCAGAATTAAATCTCAACTGCATAATAACATGGACAATCTGTTGTTATGTTTCGTAACAATAATAATTTTCGGATTATTTGAATTATAATCTTGTTTTCGGCCTGTTGGCTTTTCGCCTTGTTGGCCTACCACTACCTTTTCCTCTGATTGGGTTGAAACAGATATGAAAAGTTTTTTCCGACCATTAAAGTCAGAAGGAACTTTATTCTTCCATGATGTTTTTTTCGTCTCTTTCAAACTTAAGTTGCAAAAAACTGGTCGGAACTATATGTTTTCAGAAAATATACATGCTCACAATACTTTCAACAACGACCGTCAGACGAGTAAACTATTTGAGCTTTTCAGTCGTTCTTCCAGATTTCCGAGCAGTTTCTCGAAGTTTTAATCGAACACGGATTCTTTATAAAAGATGTGTCCTGCTAGAATGAACTCTAGCCAGCCTCTAGGCAAAAAATCTTCTTTGAACCTAAGCGAAAATCTGTTTTTTCTTCAGTTGCAATGAGTAGAGCGCTTCATGTTCAAATTGAACTACATTGATACGATTTTGAATAACAAACATAACACAATTACAGCTGAGTCGTCGATCGTTTGGTTTGTCGTTTGAGGGATGCTATCCCCATACGTCAATGTGTTTTAATCTATCCAAGCGTTTATCGCGCTGGCTATCCAAGCGTCTATACTTTAAATCTTTGAAAATGTTTTAAAAGTTATTAAAGTATTATATAGGAAGGATTTACATGGAATTTATGCGGGAGCTTGAGCTTGCTATCATCTCCTAATTGATCATAAAACTGTTCGATATATCATAGCCTGTCAGTATCATTGTACATCATGAACTGTATCATGAACTGTATCATGAACTGTATCACAAATTGTGCTTGATTGCAGCCGCCCGGCCACCTCCTTCCTCTGGTTCACGTCCCCCTGGGCGACCTTCAAACACATCATCTGGAAGCACTACAGGTGGCACATGATCGTCACAATGATAATTATCTTCGTCGTCCTCTTCCTAGCCCTCTTCATTTACACACTACTTGTAAGAGAAATAGTAAAACAGAAGCTACTTTTGTATTTTCGGCAAATTTCTAATTATTTTTAATTACGGCTCTTTTTCCATTTTTTCCCCACAAAACTATTCAATACTCTACTCGGGCCTTTTGGTGCCAATATACACTTTTTTTGAACAGGGAGCGGGCAAAAAACGCTTTTTCAGCCTGTTTTTCGAAAACTCGCTAGAGGCGCAAACAAATAAGCAAGAACAGTGTCTTTTTAATGATCTGGAAGAGCTCGGGAAATCAATTCGGCTAATCTTAAAAAAAAAGATCGACAAAAATTGTTTTGAAAACATTTTGAAAATCAGCCCCTCAAGAAAATCATACACCCGCCCCTGTTCATGGGCTCTAAAAACGTCAGTTGCTGATCGATTAGGAAGATTTTATTGGTTGTCAGGCCTATAGATGAACAAATATGTTCTGTTAGGCTTTTAAAACTTCTCAAAACAACCATTCTGCCCAAAAACCACTTGAGCCAATTGAGCGGTTTTGTGCCCACACCAATCTGTCATTATCTCAAAAAAACCAAAAAATAACCGAATGAAACATCTGAAATAACAACAATTATTTCTCAGCAATTAACAAAAGCATTTTGAGTTATTCATAACGACAACAGTTTGTAGCTGCAAACTCAAAGCAAACTCTCAAAACACTGGTAATTGCTCTTAAGACAAATTGCTTTTTTTGGAGGTCATATGTGAGAAAAAACGGTAAAACGGTCAAATGGGTCTATAGCCCCTCGAGTATACATGTATAAAGGTTAGCGAATAGGGGGACTTGAACCTCATGGACCGGCGGTTTGACCAGTGTCATATACGTTAGGCTTTAGTCCTGTTATAGAACCAGCTTTTCACTCTTATTTACTTTCGCGTTTAGTTTTTCTCCGCGACATCCTCCGCCCCCAAAGACGGAAGAACTGGGACGAGCTTAACGGTCCGGTAATTTCGCTCGTGGCTGTTTCGATGAGGGCGGAACGTGTGCATCCGTCTTTGCCGTAGTTAAGTTTAACGATGCGAACGAGATGGTTATATCCTCGCGGGCTGTCGAGCTCAATCACCCATACGAGATCACCCGTTTTTGAAACAACGTCAGGTTGCGTGTTCCGCTTCGCACGCTTCTTAATTAAGGGGACATATTTTCGTAGCCAACAAGACCATATAGCGTCAGCGTAAGACTGCGCTCGTACGTACCTTTTCTTATGATCGAAGTATTCCCAGGGAGAGAGCGATGAAAAATTTGCGGCGTACTGTTCAAGCAAAAAGTGGTTGGGAGTTAAAGCATCTAAAACACGCGAATTATTAATTGAAATCAAAGCCCTCTAAAGGAGGAAAGCGTTGATGAAATCATGCAGAAAAAAATCAACAACAAAATTATCAACCGAAAACGGAGCATCTGAACTTCGTTTGTTCGTTATAAGAAAAATAATAAGACATTGTTACTAAAATAAAAACAATGTGGATTCAAAGCAAATCTCAGCATTTGCTTTCCATGGCACTAGTTTTTTTCCGGAGTAGCCGGAGAGAAACTAATGAAAATTTTCTCCGTAAATGGAACCTTTGAAACTAGAGCTTAACAACAAAACATATTTTTGAACTATGCAATATAGGGAAACAACAATTTGAGCTTTCGCTTTCTGGAAGAGGGCCACTTTTGGAAAACTGCAGAAAATTTTTTTGAAATCTTGCTGCACCTTCACCAAAAACATAAAAACGAAATTGGAAAAAAGATAAAAGCCGTTTTTGAGAAACTAAATCAAATTTTACGGCTATAATTGATCTCGGCCAATTAGCTAAGGACTATTACAACTCCGGGCATAATAAATCAATGGGTCCATCATTTTTTAAAATTTAAGTTACAGTGACTCCTAGATCATTTTCCCTAGTCTAAAATTGTTTTTCGTATCGAAGAGTCCAAATGATCATATGACTATAACATGGAATTAGAGCAAACCGTTTCAAAATGTTGATTAAAACTATACCGCCAATAAAAGTGTTAATTACGAGCATCCTATAGAAGCACAAGAGATCGAACACCATGCAGAGCCTGAAAAACAATCATCAAAAATAGCAACTAAACTTTGAACATCCGAAGGTCGCATTTTCGAAAAAAATTATTTTTAGGTTTTCGATTATATGTTATGATACATAACAAAAATTTAGCTGAGTGCTTTCTGTAGGAACGAACCAATTTTGAGATTATGCTGTAATCTAATTTTGAAAGCACTCTTTCTAAAATCTAATTTTGAAAGTATGACGCAATTTTTGATACTGACAAAACGGCAAAAGAATCTCACAGACTTTTGTGGTAGCAACTTGTCTTTTATAACATGCAGTTTGGAGAGAACCTAGATTATAGTCGGCCGCATTTGAAACTTTCGAAGTTAACATGTTTTGAGAAAAATGACAAAATCACCAAAATTGTTTTTTTTTTTTAAATTCTTCTATATTTTAACATCTGATTGGGCTTAACTTCAATGCTAGTCAGGTATTTCCTTTCTTTTCAGTCTCTGATGAGGCTTGTTGACAAAAAAAATTCGAAAAAGTGACGGAAGTAAGAGGAGCTACTTTTTTTATGCACTACACAAAGTGTAGAAGAATCATTCCAAAATAATTTCAGAAACTCGGAAAAATTTTTCATTTTTATGGCAAACTGTTTATCGTACAGTTGTGATAACTCAGATGATTTTTTTTAAATTAAGAAATTGCTCTCAGTTAAGCAAACTTAGTAAACAGACTTTTTTAGATAGGCCTATGACACCTTAACTTTTATTTGAAAAAAAAAATGTTCGTCACACAATATTGATAAATGGGACAAATATCTTGTTATTTTGTTATATCTTGTTATATCTTTTCTGGGAATTGCTCTGTCAGTAGTTTTTATAATTCATGGAGGTCAACCCAGAAAGAATGTTTAGCCTTTACTTCATTTTTCTTAAATCTTTGAGATTTCTGCGAGTTGCAGAGGATGTATGAAAGTCTATTCAACCTGTCTAAACTTAAACCATTTCCCTTATTTACCACATTGCAGACTAAGTTCTTCTATTAAGCAAGTCTTTTTTTTCTGGGACTCAAGGTCGATTTTTGCGTCTAGAGCAATTTTGCGTGTCTTGATCGTTTTTGATCCCGATAAAGATTACCAGACCTTTAGCTTGGATGATTCGAGGTTACGGCTACACTTTTGGTAAACATCCCCCACCTGAACACCCCCACCTGAGCACACCCACTTCCCCCACCTGAAACCCCCCACCCCTCCCCCCACCTGAACCCCCCACCCCACCTAAACACATCACACCTGAACCCATCCCCCTACCCCCACCTGATCCCATCCCCTCCTTGAACCCCCACTCCCAAGTTGTGAACCAAACGTTACGTTGGAGGGGTTTGTTGTAAATGGGCAAAAGCTAGGGGGGGGGGGGGGGGGGGTAATGTTGAGTAACATAAGAAAATAACAAAAATATCAAAATTAGGTTAAAAAAATTTAAATTGAACAACGAACGTAACCAACTTTCAAACAACTACAATCAATTAACCAACGTAAGCAACTTTAATTAAAACGTAAAAAAGACTTTATGTGCGTTAAACTTCACATCTAAGTAAAGTGGAAAAAAATTGATTAAATTTTAGTTCCATTGTCAGTGTCCATAAAAGTGAAAAAAATTGATTATAATGGATGAAAAAAATATTTTGTTGCCTAAAAAAAGCAATATTGTAATGCATTTTTAATTGATTATAATCGATTTGTTTTCACTTTTGTGGACACTGGCAACGAAACTCAATTATGATCGGTTTTTATTTATGGAACTCCGATGCGGGTACTTGACTGCTTTATTTTTTTTAGACAATTCAAAACAATTTCGGGCTCAGTGATAGGTAACTCACGCCTATATCAAATTAGAAACTTTTCATGAGCTCTTCGTAACACACTATTGACAGCAATATGTTTGAGTTTTTGGACGTAACTTAATTTGATTATTTATCTCGAACTGGCATTTTTCAGAATAAATACAGGGTCTCCATTGTAAAAAAAATTTCAATTTAATTGAGTTCTGCACTAAAACGTTAGCAATTTCTGTTTTTTTTTTGCAGAAAATTTTATTTAAAATTCATGTTTTGACCGCGAGATATGATTATCATTTAGTAATGTTGTGAACTTGATTTGCTTTTGGTCTATGTAAGAACTTCACTGAACTTTGAAGGAATTGTAGTCCAAAATGGACCTTGAAAAGAGACATTTTGGAAAAAAAAACTTGTATTTGTGTATAATTTTGTCGACTAGTGTAATAATAATAGTTTTCTAACTCCACGACCAGATAATTTTGATTTTCTCTTGTAACGCTGCTTTGCATTCGACCTTTCTTTTATTTTGTTTTCTTCTCAATATTTTATGGGTTGCATTCCTTGAGCAATCAAAATATCAGAAATTTTTGTTACCTTGAAGTTCTGGTTCTTCAGTCTTAGGAAGGTTTCACTGGATTCTTCCGATAATTGCCGCGCCGCTGTAAATGTCGTTATACTCTCATTTTGAAAGTTTTTTTGAACATGAATGAAAACTGATAAACTGATAATATTTGGAAAAGATATGAGCAACAGAGTAAAAGGATTTTATGTTAAAACTTTTCGTAAAATCAAAGTACACGAACTGTTTTTGTACGTGACTGTAAGACCGGCACGGTTGAAACAAAAGTATGTGCAACTGACGTCACCGATGAAAAATCATCCGCATGCGGCGCGACTCTAGCTAATGAATTAGCGTTTTTTGCATTAACTTCATTGGATCTTGTTAACTTCCTCCATCCAGATAGACCAAGTTAAGATCTTGTACCCCAGAATTTGGGCTCGGTTAAAATTGCTAAGCGCCGCGTAGCTAAGCGCCGCAAGTAAAAATCTAATCAAGAATCAATTGAACTTCTTAGCCCTCAAACTGCTTTACGGATGGAGGATGTTAACTTAATCCAGTTCATTTTTTAAATTTTTAAATTCCATGTATTGCTTCTCATACTTAGATCTGTCTTAGATCATAGAGATTTCAAAAGCGCCT